GCCTCTGGTTCAGGGGTTCCAGTGTTAGGACGGGCTCTATTGATTATATAGTAAAATGCATTAATTCTTTGAGAATTTCTCCTGGGTATTTAAATCATCTTAGTGCATGGTAATGATTAGCAGGATTTCCTCTTCTGATATTGTGAATTTCATGACCCCTGGGTCAGGGTTTCTGGTGTTAGGGTGGGACCCTTTTGATTATATACTGAAAATGCATCTTTTCCCTGCTCCTAGGGCCAAAAATAAAAAAAATGACTTGTTTGATGTACTCCGACCGACTAATTAAAATCGCCCTTACCAAATCATTTTTTTTTTCGATACTTTAAATTCTTGTTTTTTTTGGGGGGGGGGGGTATCCAGGAAATACAGATTGTTTCTTTTTAAAGTTAAGGTTTATTATTTCCTAAAAAGATTTTACGATTGAAAGTTTTTACAGCGAGTGTAAAAAGCCAGGGTATTTTGACCGGATTTTGAAAATTCTTGACCACTTAGTCAAGTGTCCTGGTGCTGAGAAGGGCTTTATTGATTTGTATATTTCTGAGAGATTGTTATTATCCTTTGCTATTTTCTTACGTTTATTTATCATTGTAAGTAATGTAACTGAAAGGTCAATTGAATATGAGAATTATACAAGAATTTTTATGATATATAACACAAAAATTACTTTCATAGTTTTTAATGGTCAGGTAGGTTGTAAATACATGTAGTAGATAAAAAAAAATTAGACAAAATTACCTTATCTTTGTATATAAAATGTTCTTCAAAGACATATAGAGGCAATGTACGAAAAAATAAGTTGGGTTTACTAATAATGGTGACAGTGACAAATTGAGGCAAGTACAGGCAAGTAACTAATCTACACCGACGGCAACGAGGCCGCGGCGGGGCACCTTCCCCCAGTTCTTCTGACCGCCGAAGGAAACCAGTCGTGGCGCTTTGCCCGGAAAAAGTGCACACGTCGAACGGACGAGACCGCAGCAGAGACAGGCGGTGACCGCGAACGGCCCCCATCGAGTCACACCGCAGCTGCCCGCCGACGAGCTGAATTCTCCGGGTCGACTTTGCGGGTCCACCCGTTTCCCTCTAAGTGGTTTCACGTACTCTTGAACTCTCTCTTCAAAGTTCAAGATTTGTTAGTGAATACTAGAATAATTATTTTGTTTATCACTTATCATCCTACTTGTTTGACTTTTGGGCAAAATAGCTTCAACTATCATTTTATTTTGTTTTGTTTTATGTTATACTTCTATGGATCCTTTACATTATTGTATTATACCAGGTGACCGTTAAGGACCCTGGGCTTTGTTGAAATATTTTCACGCTTATTTTGCACTCATTAAAAATCCTGTCCCCCTTCTAAACAAATACATATCCAAAAACAAAACATTGAATATCCCCCTCTCCCTCTCTATACATATGAATATAGAAAAAATTCGGATCCTCTTGTACAATACAATAAATTCCATATTCACCGACAAAGCATTTAATAACATTGAATATCTTTTATCCATCCATTAAATGAACTTTATATATAGTCTTTTATACATAGATGTTATATATTGTTCGTTGTAGCTGAGAGACAGACGAAAATATGTGGACTTTCTGACACAATTTCGAGTTTCATAAGCAGCATTATTATTTTTTACGAAACTAAGCTCTGTTTATACTACATGCATTCATCTTAAGAACTTTGATTTATTTGAAAATGATTATTTTTAATTGAAAAATAATTGATTAATTCAAAATGAACTTTATCAATGGTAAATGATAAAGTTCAGTGGAAATTACTTAATCGAAACCGGTCTCTATTGTCTATTGCAAGAGGCGTTTTTTCCTCCCTTATTCGACCTCACTCAGACATCATGTTCTTATAATTATATCATATAAAAGACTTGCTATTGTTGTCTAAAACTTCAACCCCAGAGAGTTAATTTGTTGATGGGGCTCTTCAACAGAGGGCATTACAAATAGTTTTAGGGAAGGAAAACCTTTGAAGTTGGTGGGGTTTTTATCCTATGAAAAATAGACTAAGTTATTCAAAATATTTAGCTTAAAGTTACCGTTACCAAGGATCGCACAATTTCTAGATAGTGCGTGGCGATATTATACAATTATAGACTCTTTAGGTGGTTAATATGATTTGCTATATTCTCCAGAAAAAATAAATATTGACCGAGACATAGTAGGTTTGATTGAACAACTTTGATTTACAGTATTTGAAAATGTTTATTTTTCATTAAAAATTGAATATGAGGCGAAGCAGAGGTCAACATTGATATTTTACTATTGTATATCAAACCATATTAATCACCTAAAGAGTCCATAATTATTGTTTAATTAGATAGTCCAGTATTAAATAATAAGACATTGAAGGATGCTAAATGACGAAACATCATTAACGAATTTCCCTTGCAGAAAGAGATAACTTCCTTGGTCCCTTTCATAGTGTAAGGCATTATTTCCCGTCGAAATGTTTAGATAATAATCAAGCGATGTACTTTGCCATTCTACTGGGAAAAGAAATTCTCTTCTCAGTACACTTGGTCAATATGCACCGATGGATGACAATATGTGCCAAGAGGGTACCGGTTGGTCCATATTGTCGCTGGCTACAAAATGTACTGTCACAATCATGATATTGCTGGCGATTTTGTCGACATACAACAAACAATATTGGGACTAAATGGCATGCGACTTTAACGCTAGCTGCAGAACTGTAGCTCTCTGGTTGAGAAAATTCGGACAGATAAACCAGAGTTTATCTGTCACATAGACCTGATTTAGGTCTATGTCTGTCCTAATTTTCTCAACCAGAGAGCTACAGTTCTGCAGCTACATTAACGCAAGTTTATGGTAGAGAAAGAAAAAAAAAGAGATCTATTAATTTATCAACATTTTTCCCCACATTTTCGTATCAAATTTTAATTGTTCTTATTTCAGAACCACATGAAAGTTACAGATTCTAAATAAGCTTATGTACCTTTGCTTTTAATATTCAGCATTTTGCAAATTCCAGGGTCGTTATAATAACCTTGTTTGCAAATACATGTACAACCTTTCGTTGGGTCGAATATTGACAGCCATGTTTCAGCCATGTTTCACAGCACTTTTTAAGCAATTATTAAAAAAAAAAACAACTAATTACTTCATTTATCTGATCAACACAGATGGCTCACGGCGGACAAGTGTCGTCGACATGTGATGCTTACTCCTCCAACGCTCTTATCCAATCCCGGGTGTTTCCAGGGATTTGTGTTTTTGCCCAGTTCACAAATTGTTTAAGAGATTTAGTAATTATTGATTATTCTTCGTCATATTCAACTTTTTCATATAAATAGCTCTCAAAATTTACGCGGTTTTATAAACTGGGCATTTCCTTGAAATACTCGCTTTTCTTATTTACTGAGTGAATAGTTGTTTATCCTTTCAATATTAGTATGTTAAAACTTGCTGGTATTTTTATTCTTTGTTGAATGTACGCGAAAAATAAATTTTCTTTGAAATCAAGAACTTCTGCATTTAAAAAAAATTCTCCATACGCGGATCGCCAGCAGAATTGATTACAATTTATACGGGGTTATTTTTGCTACATTTAATTTTCGGCATATCATACTTGCCAATGATTTTGCCCAGTTTTAAATTCGCCTAGACACGGTTGTTAAAGAGATAACCTTGTCTTTTTGCGACGAGGCGAAAATAAAACTGGGGCGAATTTTCCCTATTTATAGAGGTATTGAAAGCTCTATCTTAAAATAAAGATGGTAACAGTGTATTAGTTGGTCATTAGACATGATTGTTTTTTGCATAAAGTGAACCTTATTATTATTCTTGTTTCTTCTTCCTATATATTCTTATATAAAACTTAAATCAACTACTGTAGCCTCACCATACCCCTGGTGATCATGATTTCTACACTACCTAAGAATGGTTCCATATAGATATAACTAAAACAGGCTTTCCTGTTCTTACGGATTTTTAACGATTTTTCGTATGTATTTCTATTGCCTATTGTGCCCCCCCGTCCTGCCCCCCCCCCCCCCCACACACACACACACTCAAGGGGGCATGACTTGAACAAACTTGAATCTACATATGACTAACCACTACTTTGCTTTTCTGAAGAAAAAAGATTTTTAATTATTTTTCCCATGTCCCATTGCCCATTTTGGCTCCAACATGCCCTGGGGGGTCATGATTAAATCTGAGGATGCTTCCATATAAATATGACTAATCGTGGCTTTGCTATTGGTGAGAAGATTTTTAAATGTTTTTCCAAAAAACAGCCATGTAAAAATTTGTATGCCCAAATTGGCCACACTCTACACCAGAGGGTTATGATATGGACAAACTTGAAAAAAAAATATTTTAAAGATCTTTCCTATGTGTTCCTATGTAAAACGTTGATTGTCCATTGTGACCCCATCCCACCCTAGTTAGTCATGATTTGATCAAACTTGAATCTACATTCCTTGAAGATTTTTCGTTATAAATATAACTGATCATGGCTTTGTTAATCTTGAGAGGATTTTTAAGAATATATATAAATATATTAACATACCCATGTAAAACTTTGTTTGCCCATATTGGCCACACCCTATTTCTGGGGGTCATGATTTAAAAAAAAATCAGAATCTACACTATGTCAGGAAGCTTTCTTTTAATGTTTCATCTTTTCTGGTGAAGCTGTTCTCGGGAAGAAGACTTTTAATAGACCCTACCCAATTTTCTCTATTTCTTGAAAATTTCCCCTTGAGAGAGGGGATGGTCCATCATTTGAACAAATTTGAATCCCCTTTACCCAAAGTTACTCTGTGTCATATTTTGATGAAATTGCCTGGCCCAGTGGTTCTGGAAAAGAAGGTAAATTTGTAAGAAGTTTACAACGACGATAACAACAATATCGACAAAACCGAAACGGACAAGTTTTGATCAGAAAGCTCACTTGAGCCTTCGGCCAAGGTGAGCTTTATTAAATGTATGTTATAATTCACAGCTTGTGGTTACTCGTCTGTTATCTCATAAACACAGGATAGACGATTGACAACCCGAAGGAAACTTCTTGCTGTTGGACGATTAGTTGGGTTTCTATCCCAACAAGCCAAAAGCTGGGCTGCCAGATGAACATCGGGATGAATACCTTCAGGGAACTGCGGATATAGACCCTTTTTGCCAACTTGGATATGCAGTTGTTCAAAGCTTAAATTAGCAAAGGGCTCTTTTTCACAAATAATCTCGAACACAACTAATCCGTAAGAATACATGTCACTCATTTTCATCTGGTTTAAGTTTAGTGATTCGCCACGAAGAATCTCCGGCGAGGAATACCGTGGTGTTCCTGCATTTTTGGCTGGCTCGTGACTCATCATGCTCAATCCAAAATCTGACAGTTTGGCAACGATAAACTTCTCGCCATCGTGGTCAATTAGAATATTCCCAGACTTGATATCACAATGAGCAATGTTTTTATCATGCAGATACTTTAGCCCCAAAAGGGTCTGCTGAATCATAACTAACCGATCCTCGTCAGTAAAATCATCAAGATCACCACGGTCCACGTGCAATGCGTCGTACAAACTCATCTGCATGTATTCCATAACGATACATAGATTTGGTACTGTTGTACATGCACCGATAAATTTAACAATAAATGAATGTTCAAGTCTATTTAAAATATTGATCTCAGCGTAAAACTCTTGTAGAAGACATTTGGGAACGCAAGTAACGCGCAACTTCTTTACAGCAACAACTGAGCCTTTATATTTAGCTTGATAAACGACCCCAAATCCACCTCGACCTATTGTCTTTCCAAGCTCCAGATCAGAATACTTTATTATCGGCCCTGTGTAGTGAAATAATGCATCATCAGTCCTCGGAACAGACTTTGTTTTTGACTTTTTACGCCATTCGCTCTCAAACTGCACTCTGTTTAATCGATCCATAATTTTTTCTATAGCATCTGCTTCCGTTTCTTCTGACAATGCTGGTAAGTCTTGATACTGTATCTCTGCTTCCTACAATTAAACATTGAATAAGCATTTGTAATAAATTTAGTTTATTTTTCAAAGAATTTGTAATGTTCGTGTAAAAAAGTTAACTAGTTATTTGGTTTATAAAGAAAATGGATCTTACCGGATTTTCTCTGTATCTTTGATATACTTTATGGATCCACTCCGTTTCTTTGCTGCAGGTAACGGGTCTTGTTCCGAGCTCTTCTCCAACTCTATTAAGAGCCCTGTTCAGTGCGTTGTTGCAATATCTGCGTTTTGTTCCTGGGAATGAAGCTTTGGGTCTTGATCCAATAGGAAAACCTACTCTTCCAAGACGACGGTTTTTCGAATTGTCAGCGTAGACTTTGTACCCATCCAATCCAGATTTTGATTGAACTGCTGTTCCAATTGGTTTTCCTGCACGTCCCAGTCTTCGATTGAATGCATTATCTTTATATAATTGAACTTTCTCAACATCAGCGCACGCTCCATGAGGAAGACCGACACGCCCAAGACTTCTATTAAGTGAATTGTCGACATAATGCTTAGTTCCTCTTGAACTTCCTTCATCTGAAGAGCATTTGGAGACCACCATTGAACCATGCTTCATGCCTACCCTTCCTAGTTTTCGGTTGTATTCATTATCTACGTAGGTTTTTGGACCAGAAGTTTGTTTTGAACTGGAAACAGGCATGGATCCAACTGGCATCCCTACTCTATCAAGTTTTCGATTGATAGCATTGTCAACGTAGGTCCTTCTATTTTCTTCAGAGCTAGAATTAAAAAAGTTAGGGCTTGCTGAAGATGGTCTGCTTTTACGATTAGATATTTTCATTGAACCCAGTGGCATACCAACTCTGCCCAGTGTCCTGTTGTAAGAGTTGTCTACATATGATCTTCCACTTGAACCACTATCTCCATCAGATTTTCCTGGAAAGCTTGAATCTGCTGAGGACGGCCTACTTTTCTCACTAGATACAATCTTTGAACCCAGTGGCATACCAACTCTGCCCAATGTCCTGTTGTAAGAGTTGTCGACATACGACCTCCCGCTATCTCTGTTTTACCGGAAAAACTTGAACTTGAACAGCTGGAGATTGCTGAGGATGGCATACTATCTTCACTGGACACTACCGTTGAACCCAGTTGCATACCAATTCCGTTCTGTGTCTTGTTGTGAGAGTTGTCGACATACGACCTCCCACTAGCACTGTTTTCACCAGTGATTGCTGAAAAACTTGAATCTGAAAAGCTGGAACGTTCAGGGGATGATTTTCTTCTCCCATCGGATACCACCATTGAACCCAGTGGCATGCTAACTCTGCCTAGTGCCCTGTTGTAAGAGTTGTCGACATACGAGCTCCCATTATCTCTGTTCTTACCAGCAATTGCTGAAAAACTTAAATCTGGAAAGCTTGAGCTTGCTGGTGATTGCCTACTTTCTCCGCTAGATACCACCGTTGAGCCCACTGGCATACCATCTCTGCCCGATGTACTGTAGTAAATGTTGTCGACATACGACCTCCAACTTTCACTGTCTCCACCATAAACACCTTGTAAAAAGCCTACAATGTTGGAGATTAGTAAGGATGGCCTATTATCTCTATTGGATACCGCCATTGAACCCAGTGGCATACCAACTCTACCCAGTGTCCTGTTATAAGAGTTGTCGACATACGACCTCCCACTAAAGATGTTTTCATCAGAGTTTCCGAAAACACGTAAAATATTGGAGCTTGGTGAGGATGGCCTATAATCTCTATTGGATACCACCATTGAACCCAGTGGCATTCCAACTCTGCCAAGTGCCCTGTTGTAAGAGTTGTCGACATACGACCTCCCACTACCGCTGTTTTCACCAGTGTTTGCTGAAAAACTTAAAATATTGGAGCTTGGTGGGGATGGCCTATAATCGCTATTGGATACCACCATTGAACCCAGTGGCATACCAACTCTGCCCAGTGCCCTGTTGTAAGAGTTGTCGACATATGACCTCCCACTACCGCTGTTTTCACTAGGTATTCCTAAAAGACTTGAACTTAAAAAGCTTGAGCTTCCTGAGGATGGTCTTCCTCCACTTGATACTACCATTGAACCCAGTGGCATACCAACTCTGCCCAGTCTCCTGTTGTAAGAGTTGTCGACATAACACCTCCCACCACTACTTGATCCACCATTTTCACCTGACATTGTCTTTCCTCTGATCTTAAATTCAGAGAGAAAATTATTTAGTAAAAATTATGTTTAAAGCTTCAATTTAGTTTAATAAGATTCCTTAAAGAAAAAATAAATTGAAGTTTTATGAAATGTTTATTTGTTTCCATAATATAAATGACTGATATCATTCATAACTGTGTATGCATAATATTTATTGAAATTACATAACACGTGTATCGATCGAACACGTGTTTACCAATGGTTTTACTGGAGTGAAACGTCATTTTACTGAAGTTAAAATATTTAATTGTGAGTAGCAATGGCCAGTGTTTTATTTTTACTACGGTAAAAATAATTTTAGTGAAGTAAAAAAAGAATTGTGAGTAGTAAGGTCATTTATATTCGAGGAAACATCGATGAATTTCAAATGAAAGAATTTGACGTAAAAAATAGCTTAGAATATAGAAGGAAGCAATTTGATTTGTGGGGTGGGGTTACAATCAAACATTTTTAGTTTGAGTAGGCACTAACGAGCAAAAAATTCTTGACATGCAAAAAAAGGTCATCAGATCTAATTATTTAGGGGGATAAGATTTGTTTTCTATAATATACATGTTCTATATATCGGCAAAATTATTGTGAAGGGACACGCCCTCCCCCTCGTTCCAAAGTCCATGATTTAAAGGTAATTTTTATCTGAAAATATGTTGTTCCTAGACGATATTCATATTCTTTTACTTACCTTCTATCAGAATACAATAAACAGGTATATGTTTCCCTCTCTACTACATACGCTAAAATACCGAAAGTTTAAGAGTGGATAAGGAAATTTTTCTTTTACCTAGAAGGAGGACTGAATTCGGTTCTAGTTTTTTTTTTCGGGTGCTTCTAGAATTACAGTCACTGTGTCAGTTACATGTATTGTCACAAGTAATAGCTTTTTAAAAAGCTTCCCCGACTAAAGCAATTAAATTCTAGTATATAGTACGTATAACATGAAGACCGTTTCGCTCCAATACAGGGTTCGTCTCATATCAATGAATAAGAATAAAGACTAGACAAGTAAAACTGTTGCAAAGCATCAAAATGGCCACAAACAAATTTTAGCACTTTCACAATTAAGCACAAGATACTCAAAATAAAAGAGTGATCCTTTTTATTTCAGACTGACTTCAAAGCAAAAAAAAATAAGAAATAAATAAATAAATAATCAATCAATCAATCAATCAATCCACAAAAATACATAAATAAATAAAATACATATATATATAAATAATAAATAGAAATTTTTGTGCAGTTGTTCATCTGATTGATTCATCGATGTAATAAAATTGGTTATAAATCATCATGTATATCCCTACATGCGGGGTGTATAATAAACTGTGCATGCACGGGGTGTATGCTTTCGAAGCGATAAAAAGGGGGTCAAGGTACGTTTTAGGTGCCTATAAAAATGGTAAAAATATCCTTACGGAAAAAAGCATATGGATACCTATGAATCCATGGACTTATGTACATTTTCCAGTTTCGTCAAACACCTCAACAAAATTTCAAAGATCAGAGCAAGCTTGACATTATATTGGGTTTATGATCAAATATCAGAACAAAGCTTCGCTATATCATCACTTTATTACTGTTAAACACGTGTTACTTATAAAAATGTATGTATAAATTGTCTGGAAATATAGATCGTATTTAAAGATATTAGTGAAAAATGAATGTTGAGTTCGAGGTGTATTTCTTAATATTCTGGAGGAAAATATCATTGAAATTATAACGTATAGTTATATAGTAATACAAGTCATTGTTGTGATATTTCTAATTACTAATGTTTGTTATTATTCGCCGGTTTTGTAATATAGCGCCACTCAGGGTACATGAAATCGATTTACAGAACGAATTTGATACATGTTTGTCTCCCTTTTTAGGTCTTTCCACCTTTCTGTGGAAAGACCTCTTGAAATGCTTATGTTTATTATTAGGTCTTTCCACCTTTCTGTGGAAAGACCTATTGATATTCTTCTGTTTATTATTATTATTATTATTATTATTATTATTATTATTATTTTTCCACCCCCTGATGTGATTCTATGTTTCCAGATCTATCGAAAAGATTTATAGTCTATAAGAATGTACTCTTTAAAAGATTTTTACAGTTCACCCTGCGTATATGAACTTTGACCCCTCCAAGAGTTATTACCCCTTTAGCAATAAAAGCTTGTTATCGCTACTCCTTCGAAACCGTAAACCATAGAGGTACGGAACCTTCACCAATGTCTTCGACTAATCGAGGGGACTCTTCAATCTTTTCATTGCGAAAGTATTCGTGGACCCCTTTTATGAGTTATTGCCCCTGAAAGTTTTTGAAATTTACAAATAATATTTTTTTTTCGAAACGATAAGTCGTAGAGACATGAAACTAATTGGATAAGATTCTTTGACATCAGACCTTGAAATTTATGTCAAGGTCAAAGGTCAAGGTCATTCAAAATATGAGAAATTAAGCTCTTTTTATATCTCTTTTGTCTTTCAACGTATACTAAGTATCTTTGCAACATTAATATGTCCTCTTAAAACTATTTCAAAGATTTCATACTTGTCCCCTAAGATTTACCCCTTTAAGAGTTATTGCCCCTTTTAGTGAAAACCATGTTATCGCTACTCCTCCGAAACCGTAAACCATAGAGACACAAAACCTTCACTAATGTCTGCAGGGTCGTTAGACACAACTTCAATCTATTCAGTGCGAAAGTATCCGATGACTCCTTATATGAGTTATCGCCCTTTAACGTCTTTGCGCTTACTATTAAACCTTATAACTTTAAAACTAAAAGTTGTAGAAGCGTGGGGTCAAGTGCAATGTGACCCTTGACCTTTGACCTTGAATATTTGTTCAAGGTCAAAGGTCAAGGTCATCTCAAAATTTTTAAAATTTTCATTTTTTCTAACTTTCAAGCCATTTATGGATTCTATTTGAATAAAAATTAACATTAGAGAGTTAAGTATGAAAAATATATGAAATTCGAAGAAGGTGGAAAGACCTCTAATTGTTCGAGAACAATTAGTCTACTAGTTATTATTATTATTATTATTATTATTTTTCTTCCCGGACTTTTGAAACTGCAAGACTTATCGAAAAACTTTATAGGTCATGATACTGGATATCAAAAGTTATTCCGAAAAACGACCCCCCGTGTTTGACCTATGACCTCCTACGAAGTTATTGCCCCTTTCGCAAGAATAGCTTGTTATCGCTACTCCTTCGAAACCATAAACCGTAAGGAACGGAACCTTCACCAATGTCTTCGACTAATTGAGGGGACTCTTCAGTCTTTTCATTGCGAAAGTATTCGTCAACCCCTTTTGTGAGTTATTGCCCCTGAAAGTTTATGAAACTTACGAATAATTAAAAATTTTCAAAACGATAAGTTGTAGAGAGATGGGACCAACTGCATAAGATTCATTGACCTTTGACCTTCAAATATATGCAAAGGTCAAAGGTCAAGGTCATTCAAAATATGAGAAATTAAGCTCTTTTTATAGATCTTTTGTCTTTCAACATATCCTAAATATCTTTGCATCATTAATATGTACTCTTAAATCTATTTCAAAGATATCATTCTTGTCCCCTAAGCTTAACCCCTTTGAAAGTTATTGCCCCTTGTGCGAAAAACATTGTTATCGCTACTCCTCTGAAACCGTAGATTGTAGAGACATCAAACCTTCACTAATGTCTTCAGGGTCTTTAGACACAACTTCAATCTATTCAGTGCAAAAGGATCCGATGACCCCTTATATGAGTTATCACCCTTTAACGTCTTTGCGCTTACTATTAAACCTTGTAACTTTAAAACTAAAAGTCGTGGAAGCATGAGACCAATTGCAATGTGATTCATGACCTTTGACCTTCAATATGCGGAAAAGGTTAAAGGTCAAGGTCATTTCAAAATTTTTAAAATTTTCATTTTTTTATCTTTCAAGCCTTTATGGATTCTTTTTGGATAAAAATTAACTTTAGAGAGAAAAATATATAAATTAAAGAAACCTAAAGAAGGTGGAAAGACCTCTAATTGTTCTGTGAACAATTAGTCTACTAGTTAATCATTCTATTTTGCTTTCAGATGGATGTAGAGGAGATTGAACATATTGTGAATGTATCAAACGTAAAGGATAAAAAAGGACCATAATTCAAAGTAAACAATTTTAATTAATTAATATTCAAAAACATATTCAAATACAAAACAAACCAAGATATAAAACATCAACAGACCCAATATGATGACCAACAAATCATCCTTTTCTTTTAAGTCATCCAGATGTTCTCCTAATGAATATTAGATATGCATCATTTTAACAATTAAAATTTATGTCTTTCATGATTTCTGCTTAAAATATTTATATTTATAAATGACTTTGAATAGATAGCGTTTTTTGGTCTTTTTGTTACGTCAAAAATATCACACAATGTAAACACACCCCACGTCTGTTAACAGTGATGATTACTTAATTCAATTAGTTCAAACATATTTCAGATTATTAAAAAATACCTTAACATAATTAAACTGTTAGCTGTAGATAATTCATGTTCCAAGCTGAGCAGTAATAAAATTGAATATAACGCAATATGATAATTTTAAAAATTAGACATGCGTAGATCAAATTTAAAGATAAAGACTAAGAAATCTTTGGACAAGTAAAATTAAATTTACAAAACATAAATAATGATAATTTAAAAAAGACAAACAAATTGTTTGAATCTCCGAAACACCTAGTCCATTTTGTGGTGTTTGGTTGGAAGGGGGAGAGTATTATTTATTTGATGTATACTATGTCCCAGGAGCCCATGTTTTGGCAATAAATCATTTGTATATTTATATTGTATTATAGCATTGTATTGGACTGTTTTCAGGACTCCTAGTTCCGGGGGGGGGGGGAGTCCAAGGTAATTTTTTGTTTACTTTACTATTATAGATTAATAACACCACTGAAATTCTAGGAGGGGTGACATTTTACATTTGTATCCAAAACAGTGA